GGGGGGGGGGGGGGGGGGCTGGGCTACGCAACAGCAGTGGCGGACTTGGTTGACGCCATGTAAAAAAAACCCATCAAAATACAAAGCTGATGCGGGACAACAACGTTACAAACGATTTAACAACTTGAGCAAACACGAAACCCAAACATACAACATCGTCCAAACAGAACAAGGGAACCAAGTCATCTTGTCGCCCCTACGCTGCCCCTGTGGGTGAGTTCAGGTGTTCACCGGTAAGGCTCTGGAAAATCGCCGCACCCCAACAAACGATGCCAGGCGGCGAATTTTCTCTCTCTCCTCTTCTCTGTCTCTCACTCTCACCAGCATCGCCGACGTCTGGCCGCTCTCCGAATCCGAGCTGCCGAATGAGTCCGACATCGCCTCTCCTCTCTCCTTCCGGGCCATCCACGCCACCGCAGCCCCCTCGGAGATCCCGCCTTCCACCTCTCGCGCAGACTCAGCGGCGGTGGCAGGGGAGGGGGGCGCAACCGCCGCAGTCTGCGCCGCCGCTGCCGCCGCCGCGGCTGCCGCCTCCTCCCGAGCGCACTCGCGGCCCCTGTGGGCGGCAGCAAGCCGCCTCGCCGCCCTTCCCCGCACCAGGGCCTGGACTATCAAGGCCGCGCGAGACTCCTCGCCGCGGACGGCCACCCTAGCCACCAGCGCCGTCAGCCTCGCCTCGCTGTCGGCGTCGCTGTAGCCTCCCCCCTCCTCCCCCTCTCCTGCTGCTGCCGCCGCCCCGCCGCCGCCACCGCTGCTGCTGCAGAAAGAGTCCTCGTCGAGGTCCGGCCTAGCTTCTGCTTCCGCGGCCGCTACAGATGCGACTGCTGGCGGCGGCGGCGGTGTCTCGGGAGCTCCGTCCTGTCGACCTTTCAGCCGGCCGGGCGGCTCTCCAAAGGCGGCGGCGGCGGCGGCGGCGGCGAGGTCATCGCGCGCCGCCTCCACTGCTCCAAGAGCTATCCAGTCCGCCAGGGCCGGGGGTTGCGCGGGCTCGACGTCCACGTACCCTTCGTCCGCCAAGATATCGGGCTCAATATCCACCGTCGCCACCGCCGGCGGCGGCGGCGGCGGCGGCGCGTCAGCCCCCAGCCCCGCTCCCGCTCCCAGCATCTCCTCCTCCGGTACCGCCTCGGGGGCCATCGTCGTCGTCGTCGTCATCGGTGGTGCCGAGAACTTGAACTCCTCCACACCGCCGTCGTTGCCGTACCCGTCCTCCTCGCCGTCGGCGACACCTCCGTGGTCGCTGTCCGTGTCGCTCCACAGCTTCTCCACCCCCCACGGCGGTGGCGAGGGCGAACGCTGGCGGTGGTCGCGACCCCCTTCTCCTGCCACTCTCTCGACCCCGCTCGCGACCTCAACGGCAAGGTCTGCCCCGTCGGCGGTGGCGGCGGTAGCGGCGGTGGGAGACGGAGCTGTATCGCGGTGTTCGCGCGCCATGACCTGCTGGAGCTCGCTCTCCTCGTTCGCGAGGGCCTGTTCTTCCAGCGGCAGCTGCTCGAGCAGACTCGCCTCTTCGGCCTATCGGGCATGGCACAGCAGCACAAGCGAGAAGAGTAGAGCGCACACAACACAAATGGTGATGATGGAGCGGCGGGGGGGGGGGGA